ATGTATAGAAATCGAATATACAAGTATAGTGAATATAGTAAACTAATTATTATTTATTATACATATTTTAAATGCTATATAAAGCCATTATTGTGGACTTATTCTTAACACATAAATATTTTAAGTAAAAAACTACTCGTAATTAATGTCGATTTAGATACTTAAACATATTAAAAAATATCATATAATTTAATCAAATTACGACAAGAAAGGGCGGTTTCTGTTTTTAAAAAAAATTTTATAATCATGTGCATTTTATGATACTCTTTAAAAGGTTTTTACATACTGTACAGGTACTAAACAATTTACAAAAATTCAAATTTGAATTAATATATGATTGAAAGATAGATGAGGGTGGACATGATTGGTTAAAAATCTCCCTGTAAGTAAATTTTTATGTTAGATTAATAAAAAAATAACTGTGAAACATTTTGTAATCCCAGTCATATAATAATTCTCTAAAAACAATAGACTAAACTGACCTATACTATCACACAACGAGAGGGACACCTGTAGACGACAGTATTACGAATTTTAAATGAATGTATATATAGTTTAATACAAGTGCTATTTATCAATTCCTCTATCGATTGATAAAATAATATAATATGTAATCATATTATCACATAAATTCCAATTATTGAGAACGCCATTCTTGCAACGACCAATTGGGTTGTTCAATGCCAATCAATTATTATTTCAACTCGTTCAAAGAGTTTAAATCATTTTTGACCTACATGGAAATCCCTCGTTATAAAATCATTTTACTTTGACAATTTTCTTAAATTTTTATATTATTGAAAAAAAAAACCATAAACTTTCATCTCTTATATGTATGTACTATGTATGTATGCAAATTGAGGAAATTATGCATCTTCGTTTCATAAACGATTTTTATTACCACCTCTATATAATACTTGATATATTATCATTTTACGGTATAAACCAACTGTAGTGTATTATTATTTTGTTTAATTGATAATAATAATCACGTACGTAATAAAACCGTGTATGCATGTGTGTGTGCGTGTGTGTGTGCGTGTGCACGTGTAAGTGTGAGTGTGACGGTGCAATAGTTATAACAATGTAAAACAAAGAAAATAATATAATACCGTTAATTTCTTCCTCGTCGCGTAGCAATTACGTCGATTATTGTATACATATTGGAAACGAATAGTTAAAATTAGGAACGAGCGGTTACTATAGTACAATATACATAATATAATCGTTTGATCGAGGTCACACGATGTTAATTTTCTGGGAACGATTGCAAATGATAATTGGGTAGAAGTGAACGCGAGAAACCATAATATTGTACACATAAGATTGTGTCGAGAAACGAATTTTGTAGTCTTTGATATCAGAACTAATATATAATATATTATATACATAAATAAATTATTGTACATAGATGCATATAATATTATATAAGGTTGGACAATTTGTTTTGCAATTATCACGTAGCGGCGCCCCGCAACAATGCTAAATCCTCGTTCCACCCTTAAACCGACGTTACGCACAATGTAATTAAAATTGCTTTTATTATTTTACGGAGAATGATTTAAAAGTTTAAAGGAAAATCAATGATTTCAGTTGTTTGGATCGCATACGTAATAGAGTTTACAAAGGGGAGCCATAAGGGTCACACAGCCGGTCATTGCCTACCCTTTTTTTTGTAATGATTTTATAATAGAAAATTTACAAAATAACAATTCATAATATAAAAAAAATCATAACATATTTTATAACTATAGAATTTTTATTGTGTACAAATTTAAAATCCTTTACACATTATCCACAACCAGTTTTCTTTGCATTAAAAAACTTGCAGAAGTTGCAAGCTGATGCTGGTTCACAATTTGAACATCAAATAAGCAACGAACAAATAATAATGATATATAATTATATATTGATAAAAACTAAAAAGTCTAGTTTAACTTAATATTACTGTTTTGCCTTTTCTAATAGTTTTTTTTTTATTCTGAGCGGAGCGATGAATGTATTGATTTTACTCTCATATGAGTTTTTTATTTTATGTTTCCTCAGTGCCTTTTGAAGTATTAAAAATGCATTTCAATTTCCATATCCCTTCTGGTAGGAGAGTGAATCTAGTAGTTTATAATTTATATTTTAAAACTTTGGGTAAACAATTCTCAGCACTTTCCTTGATAATTGGAAACAAAAAATTGGGAAATTAGGTAACCACCCTGCTGTACAGTTGGATTAATCAAGCATAACTTTTCATTCAGTAGGTCATTTTAATGGATGTATTAAATTTAAATTCAATACATTTATCATTTCATCCGAAACATGATTCTGAGTGAAGACGGTCTGTCAGCCTATTATCATATAAATGTATTTAATTTGCTATTGCTATTAATTGTTATACCTACCTATTAAATTTGTTTACTAGGTATTATTAGATAATATGATAATATTTAACTATTACTAAATATAAACTAATAGACTATTGGCAAGAGCTTAAAATTAGTCTAAATGTTTTGAAAATTTCATTGTATATACCTATATTATGAAATATTGAAACATAACAAAAATATATATTACATATTTTCGTCCAAATTTAAACTTAAAATGTCTATAAAAAAAATCTGCCTTTTGTATTATAAATACATAACAATTTTATTTTCATTTTTTAGTTCCAGTATGAACTAGATACATATTGTGAAAACCTTGTTTAATACAAGGCTTAACATTTAATATTATATTGTTCAAGTCTTAGCTACAATAATCACTTAGCTACAGATTACTTTATAGTTAATTCATTTTTAACTTCAAAATAATTTCCAAATTTTTGTGATTTTGACTAATTTTGTCAAAATTTTAACTTTCAATAGTTATGAAAAAAAAACCACGACTACTTATATTATGTAATGATACAAATTTGTTCTTAATTTTACAAATATTTTTTGAGCATATAAAGTTAGAATTTATACGAAGTTGGATAATTATGATTATAATATTTGTTTGGAAATATTTGTTGAAATTCAAAAACAAATCACCAATTATCCCTATTTGAAATTTTTACAAAATGTTTGATACCTATTTATACATGGTAGGTATAATTTTCCTTAAAATTCATTAAATTTGTCATTATTTTTCTTTTTTTTGTTTAATATAATCGACAAAACAGTTTAACTATGTCAGAAAGCTTGAAATTTAGGTTTCTCATAGGTTTTTATTAAAGCAATTTAAAAATATCAAAGATAAAAATCAATATATCATGAGTATTAATTTAAGTTTATATTTTGACGAAATTGAATAAACTTTTACTTATTTTATTATATTTTACAACATTTTCAAAACAGTTATTATATTATTATATTACCTATTTTTACCACGAACTTATATTCACATATTCACACCGTTCTACGATAAGATAGTACGGTGCCTCTAAAGTCAATAACAATAATTAATTATGTAAATATTATTTACTATAATAATAATTTATATTAATTATTAATTATTATATATTATTATAATAAAATATGTAATGTGTTTATTAATAATTAAATTAAATCAAACCATAATATTAATAGTAAAATAAATTACTTCGACAGCAATACAAACATATCATAAAATATACTTAGAATTAGTGTGACACACATACTGTAACCAGAATAGTATTTCGTATACAATAATTTAACATTGAATTCAAATTCAATGCATACATTACAGTGACTTATTCCTCAATGACGAGGTACAATCGACACCGACTGCATTGCAGAGTGGTTATCTTTACCTACTTCCCATTTTTTAATATAATAATTACTCAGCTGAGTAAATATAACTTTTTTAATTGTATGATATTGATATTTTAAAATTTAAAACAAAATAATGTGGTTTCCATGTTCCATCATGCACATTGTATATAATATGTTTCATTTACGCTCTATTTTGTATAAATAAACATAGATATCTCAAATTTCAATATCGTTTTTTATAGATATTTAATTAATTAGATCTGAAGACTCATTAGCCTAAATAAACTTCTCAATTTCTAAAGTAAATAAGAATTTTCAATCTAGTAATCTAATAATTTATCAAAACACAAATTATTTTTAATTAATGTTTCGTATACATAAAATAAAATAGTGTTAATATTTACTAATTTGTGTTACTTCTATGAGTAGTTCGAAAATTTTTAGGTTTTTAATGTTATTAATATAGTAACATCAAATAACATTTGAAGCATAAGTGTTGAAACTTCAATCTTAGATATATTATTATGGTAATTACTAATTAATAACATAATATAAGTAGAAATAATTTATAAAATGAACCAACAATTTCAAAAATATCAGTTTAAATAAACTTCTTAATGTTTGCTGGAAGCTTACAGTTACAACCTAACCTACCTAACCTAAAAGCTGTAAATTAATTTAATCTTTTGAACTTACAAATACGTTTTGTGTAACATCTATATACATTTAATAGAAAAAAAACTGCAAAAAATCCAAATCAAAAATTCACAATTTTATTACAGTGTGAATGTGTAAACATCTCATGTTTTATAAAAATCAAATATATATGAAAATATATACTTCTTAATAACGAAATATTATGGTAACTTTAACTTTAACTTTGAACATGATATTTCAGCCACAGATTGTTACAAAAAAAAAAAAAAAATTGATCATACTAATGTTGTTAATTCCACTTTTGTATTGAAAACGTAATAAAAAATGTCTAATTCCTTCAAATTAATATTTTTAAAATGACCTTATTTTTTAATTATATGGTTCGAATAGAAGAAATATTATAAATAAAATATTCACTATGTTTAACGACTATGCACTTTTATGAAAAACAAATGTGTGTAGGTATATATATTTTCTGTAAAATGAAACTTCGAGAAACCTCAAATGTTACTGCTTAGCCACATTAAAAATATATAAAAATCCTGTATTTACTGATGGTTTTTGATATGTTTCTTTTAATATAATATATAAATAATAATGATAATTTTTTTTTCTTTCCAGGAAACGCTAGGTACGGTCTATGCGGCTTTGGTCTACTCATCATTTCGTACGCACTATTTTTCTTCAACCCGGTGGAAATCATCAAATCAGCGGTAAGTGCACACATTTTCTATTTACATACAACAATTCGATATTAATTACCTTGACGCCCTAGTTAAAGCTACTTTAGTATTTATATTACAGTATCTTCGATAGTAATAATTATAATGTATCAAAAAAAAAAAAAAAAAACTATATAAAACTTGTTTCTAAAAATGTTCAAGTGTAAAACCGTTTATAAATAAATAATAATCAATTATCTTGTGATAAAGTCTTAGTTATAACTTTATAAGTTATATTTATGATGTTATAAACTATGTTTAATCATTAACAAGATTAAATTTATTTGAAAGACATAAATAATTGGGCCATGAAGTCGAACAGATGTAACATATTATAGGTGCCTACCTAACAAATGATGTGGAAAACCTATTTGCATTTTTTATCTATATTAACCTTATATATAAATATAATAGGTAACCAAGTTTAATTAAAAAATTATATATATATCATGACAGTTATTCATTTTAATTTATATGGAATTATAGTAATATAATATATTATATTATATTATATGATATTGTTATATTATTTATTGGTTTGGGAATAGATTTCGCACCATAGTTATATATTACCATGCCTATTACTTAGTAGGTAGGTATGAAATAAATTACACACACAAAACGAGCACTGAATATAATGTTATAGGTAGGTAGGTACCTATTATTAACCGCATGAAACCTGAATTCGCGAATATAATATACGCCCGTACATACCAACGTATTTATAAAATATATTTAATTAAGCAATCAATTATTTACTATTATAATATGTACGCTGCGACCTTTTTTAATTGAGCTGGAGGATATATAAACATTAAAAACAGGGTTAAAAGACAATTCCGCATATACCTAGTAAATATTTAGCTCAAGGAGCAATTATTCATACCTACTGTATTAAACATTATAATATAATATCGCCTGTACAATATATTATAAGTAAGTATTACTATATAGGTACCGGATTCCCAATATATATTAGGTACGCTTGGTGTTAAAGTGCGTTTTTTTACTCTTTATGTTAATTGCCGACAGCGGACTCGTGAACTGTAATTTTTTCCCTAGATTTATTACTAATATTGTTCTTGAAATATTGTTACTTATCATTAATTACGCACCAATCGTTCCCAATTGCCTTGATTTTGAAGTTTTAGTGATACTTAAGGTCCGCATGTCTTTCACTCGGACGTTCACCATTAAACAATCAATTAATAAATCGTATTCATTATACAATAATTACCATTATATGTATTTTATACTTAGGTATCAGATATTCGAAAATATTTAATACACAATTGCACAATATTTTATCACACACACACACACACACACACACACATATATATATATATAATATATAGGTTTGTTACATCATAGTTTTATTGACTTGATTTTTGCGATAGTTATAATAGAGGTACCTACCCAATAAAATTATTGCATTTGGAACTTAAGAGCCATGTTCGATTAATTCGCAATACATTTAAGTGTATAAAAATATTATTATTATTAATAATATATATTGTACAACATAAAAATGATTTATCACTTGAATAATAATCACATTACCCACCGCTGTGTGCCACAACGTCAACAGTTGATCTGTCGTCATCACAAGGTTTCGAGGTTTCTTACCGGTATATTAGATTATTATTATTATACAGTTGTTGTAGACTTGTATCGGACGACTGTTGTAGATGGATGAACGAGATATTAATAATTGATACGTTATACGTCTGAGATCCGTAACAGCTGATGTCGAATTAATACAAGTTAGACGATTACCTTAAGGTGGTTAGTCAATATATACCTAATATCGACTATGAGCACCTACGTTATATTTGAATATTTATAATTTATATCTACTACCTATAGATTATAATATAGATATATACGTCTCGATTTGAATATGATGATTAATGGGCGTCTATATAATAATGATAATATATTATGAGCTCGGTTTACAATACAATTACGGGTGGACGATAGAAAATAATATATCGACGCAGTTTATGGATTAATTATTGGTATGATATAACTATTCCTATAACACACGCGCTAATGTAGTTTTAATGTAACGTGTATAATAGTTAAAAATTGCTTTGTGTTAAAGGATGACAAAAGTATACGCCATCAGAACTGTAAGGAAGGAATGGTTTTCGTCCGTGAAAATTCACGCGGTGAAATGTATGGCTAAGTCTAGAAAAGTTTTCGTAATTTTCTTGGGCAATTATCGCACTCTAAATAATATATTACATTTTGAATACAGCGATTTGGCTTTTTATTTATTTTAGTTTGAGATTAATATCGACTTTTGTCTATTGATAAACTATAATTATTTTAATTTAAAATTGTCACCGCTAATATTTTTCTGAAATTTGTACTATGCGCGAATATATTATATAGTATTTTTAATGGTATGTAAATTAAAGTTATGATTGGAGGATCGTCAAAGAAGACTGTCTATTATAATACAATAACGCAATTAGTGTAGCTACTTAAACTTCATACCTAATATATACACAGTGATTCAATAATCATTCTCACGTTAATTGCATTTATTCAAATACAAATTTTCGGAAACTATTTGTATTCTTTAAGAGCATCACTTATAGTTTTCAATACTTGTTAAAAAATACTTGTATTTTTTATTCCATTTGAAGATGCGATTACACGAGTTATTACACTTCATGCACTAAGGATAATATACCTCCCATAACGGTTTTACATAAAATATAGAATAAATGTTATACTTAGTCAAGTACTTATTATACTCGGAAAATGTTTATAAATTATGAAATTGTAATAAACTAGCTGTTTAACCCGACTTCTCCTGGGAAGAACTTAACAAACATAAAATACGGTGCTGTATCGGTATTACGTATCTCGGTTTTTGTGTACACGGGTAAATCGGCATCAGAGTACCTACCTCGCTTTGTGAACTAATTCGACTGAGATGGTTAATCCACCGTAGCGGATCGGATAATATAGCACTCGGTATATTTTCGAACGTGGTTCAAACTACTCTCTAAACTTTCATGATATTTCTAAGAACAATCTCCGAAACTTTCATCACATAAGGACATTGCTTTTTGTTATACGTCTGAACAACTAACAATAAATTAAATATTAGTTTGTTTAAAAAAAATCCCATAGCAATGGGGTCCGGCTTGTTTTATTTTTTTTTTTTTTTAATTGCATTTCTGTAATAAATGGCATTCCTATAATATATAGAAAAAATAATTCTATTTTCACGAGCGAAAACGAAATTTATCTGTGAGCCACCCCAATATTGAAAACTAGCTTAAAGCTAAGCACCACCCAATTATCAAGTCGTTTCTGAGATTAGCGTGATCAAACATGTAAACCCCTCAGGCTTACTAATATTAAGTATGGATTAACATAAATAACTTTAATTTTAAAATCATTATAATATTTATTAATAATATTTTCTCTACCAAATCACTCAGAAACTCGTCGTTCAAATTTAGATCTATGTACCTATACATAAATATTTTTATAAAAAACATTCTTCTTGACAATTTCAAATAACCTGGTTATGATGTGAAGAAAAAAAAGTTTGTATTTTCACTGGACACTTCTTAAATAGTATAACAATATAAGAATTAAAAAAAATCGTTCTTAATTATAACATGTGTATTAAACAAATAACTTCAAAAATTAAAATTCTAACACATCTTTTATATTTAAGGAGAAAATTTTGGTTAATCACCCTGTAAATAGCCCAGTTCACAACCTGTATATGGTACGATATAATATAGGTCAAAATGTTGTGTTGCATAAGTCGTATATGTTATGTAGGTACGAATGACCCAATAAAATGCTCATCAATAGTCAACAGTATCAACAACTAGTAATCGCAAGATATTATTGATTAACACATTATCCAACAATAAAATATAATAACAATTTTTTTTTCATTTTCAGAAGTTGAAATTTGTCGAAGGATCTTACGCGTTTCAGCTGTGGCAAAAGCCTCCGGTTAAAGTTTACGTCAACGTGTACATATTTAACGTGACTAACGCCGATAGATTTTTGGCGGGCGAGGATGAAAAATTGGATGTCAAGGAAATAGGCCCATATGTTTATTGGTAAGTCGGCAGCCAGTACCTATATATATTATAGTTTTTTGATTAATCTTACAATATTCGTATATCAATAAATGAATAAATGTTAATGAAAAATAAGTGAGAATCGTATAAATTATACATATTTTATTGAAATACATATTAATATTGATATTACATGATTTTTTGATCAGTTCGTATTTCCTTTGATGATTTGACAGAGGAACACAAGTACAAGATAACCCCTTAAAATATGATTATTATAATATTTAGAAAGCTGGACTCTGAAATAACCGATGCTGCAGGAGTATCAAAGGGCCTTTGTCATCCCTTTCCAAATGTTTGAACATCATTTAGGCGAGAAAAATATTTGATTGACTAAATATTTCATTTTAAAAGTATAAATAAGTAATAGAATAACATGAGTTAATAAAATTTGAATTTTAAATTTGGTTGAATGTGAACTAAAATAGCATACAGTTCCAAAAACCTAAATATATTACTGTACAAGTAGTCGTCATTTTTCGAATATTATATTATTATGTCTAAAAATGACTTAACATTCAATCTATCTCTCATGTTCGTATATTTGAGATAAATTTTTAGTGAAATATGAAAATAGAACAAACTTCGATTATGTCAAAAATGTATTTTACAGTAATTTTCAGCAATTCGGGTGCCTTGTTCCTAGGGAAACATTACAATTTTCCCTAGGTGCAAAGCCTAGAATAAACAAAAAATAATAATATATCTGTTCAAAACTTCAAAATGGTTGACCAAAATCTAATATGGGTAATCGTTATCATTGAGCCTATCTTCAAGATTAATAAAATTAGGTTAGTGAAAATCAATAATCATATTATTATAACACAAATTTAATAGTTAAATGCCCAAGTACTCAGTAGACAATAGTGCACAAGATAGGTCTTAATATGAAGTTGTAAGTGGATTTTTTAATGATGAATAATTATTAGGCAATAAACATCGACTTTATCATCAATTTCGGTGATCAATTTTTAATCATTACAATACTCTATAAGTTAGTAATTAGTTTCTAGATTTAATTAAAACAAAATTGAAATAAATTCAAAAATAAATTAAGTTCTTTTTTGTGATTAAATTTATTATTTAAGTACTAACATTAACATGAAAATAATAAATAAAAATGTTGAGCAATGATAATCCATATAATATAATAATTAAAATGGAATTATGAGCTGCAACAATAAATTATTATCTACAGATTTTACATTGAAAACTGGTGCAATATCTATTAGGTAATACTTAATTAATTTGAGGATATTATACCAAATTGGTTTTATAAATTGAAAATTAATAACAGATTATTTAAAACAAGTGGTGATTAAAATAGTTTGTACACCTACATTAAATGTTTATTCGGTTACACATTTCTTTGTTTATCTGTATAAATCTTTATAAATTCATCATCGGGATGCTGCTCGATACTGCAAACTATTTTCTTCACCGTATATTATGATGTAATAAAACTGAAATACGCGATATAGGCAACTATACGGCTCTATAATAATAATAATACAATGTCGTGCGTCATAAATATTATGAATTATTCGCATTTTATTAAAATAATTTATTTAAATCCCGAAACAGAGGGTCAGAGTGCAGGTACCCGTGCTCGTACCTACTATACGCCCACGCTATATAATACAATATTTTATAAATGGTTATTATTTTTTATATATTTTTCCCCTATATATCGCATCGCACCCGCGCCAGCCGTTTTAATATTTCACTTTCATGCTCGCGCTCCCCTGCAGCTTTGATAATAAAACGTCCTCACGTGTACGAAGGTACATATATAATATATATATATATAGGGGAGCCTACTCAGCGAGTTTCACTTAACCTCCACTGAATGTTTAACATTCCTTGACAGTTGGCCGCGTGCACACATCACGTTCTCTAAAAACAACTGTACTTTGGATTAGCCGAGCCCCGGGGCCAAAGTTTAAAGTAGGATGGATACTGGAATATAATATATTGTATACGCATTATATTAAACCCGAAACATAATAATATAAACGACACGTCGTCGTCGCTTGTCCGCGGTGTTTTAACGACCCAATTTGTGCAGCGATCAAACCCAAGTGCGAATGTCACATTATTATTATTATATATTTATATCACGATATGGATCGCGACAATGAAATGCGTCGGAAATGAAACGTGGTACCATTATATTATTATTAGTTAATATTATAATATTATTTTCCAGATATTTTTCCATACGCTCTTTTAATTTTTTTTTTGCAAAAATCATAGCGAAAAAACCTAAAGATTAACCAATATGAATACCAATATTATAATTTATTGCGTATATCCGTATCATCCGTATACGGAAGTCGTCGATGGTTTTTTTTTCATCTATAATGTCATATTATTATTACTATGTGCTTATTGGCCCTCGACCAGAGCGACACAAGCGTATAGTTGTCGTGGTCCGAACCCGGGAACCTTAGTGTGCTGTGCAGTCTGATAAATCACGACGATTAATGCAACTCGATCCGGTTTGAGCCCCTCAGGATACGCGTGTGGATGCGACCGTAAACATCGTCGTCGGTCTTCAAGTATTATTTTCATTTCAAAAATCGAATTACAATAAATATAATAATTAATAAATATTAAGTGCATATTATTTATAAGTACTAACTACGAGTAATACAGGTAATGGTATTTTAATTTCGGGTAATTGCTTCCGACGTCTAATTAACGACGTTCAATGTTCGTTCGACCCGTTGGAAGGTAAACAGGCAGCATACGGTTTCTATAATGTCACTAGGTTTCGTTTGTTTCCTTTGTGACGATTTATAATAATTATTTATGATTATTATTTACTCGCGTGCAATTTAAAATATTTAAATACCTACCTGAAACGTACGACCTATCAGAAAACCAGATACGGCGTATCTTCGATCTGACCAGTGACATAATTCGTACCTACCCGATTTCCGAAAACGGTTGATTGATGATTTCTCGAGCTTTGATTTATGTTCACAAAAAAAAAAAAACGGGAATAATATAACCATGGTTATGAAATAGAAATACAATTTAATTTAATTCGGACTGTAGCAAACACTGCGGTTTCATCAAATCCAAGTATGAACCACTGCGTAGTACTTAGATATAGGTATAAGACGTCAAGACGTATACGACAACTTTATAAACTTTTCCTTTCATAATTTTAATTTTTAAAGTTGGAATTTGCAGACAATACATAATATATATGAATGGTACTCGAGTTAGGTTTACCTTTTGCGTTCAAAACTAACAACTAACGTGATTAAAGATTTGGAGGTAGGAAATAGTCAACATCGATGACTTTTATTGTACATACAATTTATTGTTATATTGTTTTGAGTGAAGCCTAATTTTGTTTTCCATCGAAATTAGACATAAAATATTTACCAAAATAATAAAGTTAAGTTGTAGGACAGCAAAATGTGTATTAAAAAGATAAAATAGGATTTAAAAATTATAAAATAGTCTCCAGAAACTATAAAATGCTGATGCAAAAATGTGCACTGAAAAGTTTTGTATTTTTATTCACAACGTTATGGAACGCGTTTTTGTGCTTACTTATAATAGGGTACATCCAGAAAAAATATAAAATACATACTAAAAATTATAATCTGAGCACTAATTGGTATATGAATATTATAAAAACCTTAAAATAAATCACCGCACACGTTATAGTATATTATAATATATACAGCTGTGTATAAGCTACCACACTGACTGTTAACTGTGGGTAGAGGGGAGAGGGTGGGCAAAATAAAACGTGTACAATTTCCAAAAGGAAAATAACATATATTGATTTAAAAATTCTAAAAACTAGTTTAAAATTATTTATAATTAATTTACAAAATATTGGCTCATTTTTCAAATTAATCGGACAAAGTCGGAAGGCCAACTTCACGGGCATCTGTTTATTATAAACCATAATTTATAATTATATAATATATTTTGCGATGAGAGACAAATATGTTTTTCATAAAACTTATTCGATTTTATTAAAACCAATCACTTTTATTGAACGACATAACACAACACAAAATATACTATAAATTGTTATTATCACAAAAATATTAAGTACCAAATTACATATTAGCACTTAACATTTTTGAAAAAAATTTCATATTTCAGAGTATAAGTAGAATATCTATACCTAATGTAATTAACCTCCACAATATATTATCTACCATGTTAAGTCTCTCTTTCTATGAATTAATTTGTACTACGAATGATTTAATACGATGATTGTTATTTGACCATATTTAAATGAGCTAGCTATATACAGTCATCGTAATGTATAATAATAATAGTAATAGTCTGTAATAGTCTCCTGTCACAGTGTCACACACTCATCGTATAGTTATTATGAAAAAACTCACTCTTCTCCAGGACTGCAGATCATTCCTAGTTTTGTTGCTAAACTACTGAAACTATAACAATAAATTATAAAATATTAATAAATCATTGAAGTGTATTTTGATAGTAATAATTTTTATGGTAAAGTAATATTAATACGATGCTCAATACATAGAATTGCATTCGGTATTTAAATAATAATATTAATTTCCGTCACTAACTATAATACGATATTATAACGTAGGTATTAGTATTGGCTGGTTTTTTACTTCAATATTGATTATACTGCAACGACCTAATTAATAAAAAGTAAAGTATTTTACAAAAAAAAAGAAAAAAGAAACCAAAGTGTAATAGTACGTCAACACGGCAACACCCACCTCCCACCGCCAATTTATGAAAATACACTATATCGACTTAAAATTTGAATGAAAATAATTCGTGCGTGATTTGTCTTACAGGGAGGAGTTGGAAAACACGAACACAACGTTTCAGAGCAATGACACTGTAACGTACATCCCGAGGAGGAAACTACACTTCGATCTCAATTTGTCCGTCGGAGATCCCGAAGTGGATCGCATCGTCGTTCCTAACATCCCCTTATTGGTATTAGACATTTAGTTATTAGCTGTCTCTTTTATAAAGGAAGGTGTTTTTTTTTTTTTTTTTTAATATACGTCAGCGGTCGACCGAAAACGTGGCAAATGTACAAGCTGAAACAACCCCCCCCCCTCAAACACACACACTATACAATGTAAAGACCGCCTCAATGACACCTATATTCTTCGTTTATAATAATAATACTTATTTATCTCTAACACTATTAAAAATGTATTATAATCGAAAGATCAATCATTTATTTGATTTTATTATGTGCATTAATATTATGTACTATGGTATTATTGTTTTTTGTACATTCAATTTTCATCCATTATCAATAATCATAACTATAATAGTTGGCAGGTATTTTAGTATTCATATAAAATCTATAGTCCTTACACTTCCATCTGTTAAAAAATATTTGACAAAACATAAGTGGCGTTTGAGTAGGTGCTAAATTTATATTATTCAATATTACTAAAATAATTGCAAATAATTTTCTAAAAAACAAAATTATCTATTCTTGTGATAATAATAATTGATATTTGCACGGTCGACTTAACACATTTAAAACGATCTCGTTAATTTATTTTATTTCAGTCAAGAGGATAATTGTTCTTTAAATTGACCGTGAATTATCTGTTTAGAAATTTTATTTTTGTAACATTATATCGTATAATATATAATACACAATACCTATTATATAATATTTATTATGTAAAGGTACAGTTCATAATATGTTATTTCTATAAATTACTCTGTGTGGCGTAGGCTGAATAGTTTATAATATCATTATGATGTATTTTGCACTTTTCGATAACATTTAAATATATAATAGGAGGAGATGCAAAAATGTTTGCATTTAATATATATATTTATTATTACGCCTACTTATTGTTTAAATGTTTCATACGTTATAGTTTTTGTTTGTGACATAATATATAATAAGAGTGTTTTTTTATGCAGTCCACCGTATGTAAATTCACCTAATCTAAAGTGGTGTTGTACTTAGGCGTATGTAGATTCCCAATATTCTACCCTACAAATTAATAAATCTTCTACGGGGAACCCCCTTCACCATACCTCCACCCGTTAACCACTATACAGCATTTCTTGGATAATTTGCATTCAGAGCCACCTAAATTATTTTTTTTTTTTAAAACTTTTTATTTAATTCATATTTCGTTCATTTCCTTCAAAGCTTTTGTACGATTTATATACAAAACACTACATTATTACTGCATACAAATGTACTTACAGCCAGTAACGAGTTTTAAACTATATATCAGGTACGAGCCGGTATCAAAAATATTAAATGTGTATACTGAACCAGGTATATTTTAGTAGCCTGAAAATAATAAGTTAATTTCCTAATAGAAAAACTCTCCAATTCGTTCATATTTTATGAAACGCGTTTTTAAATAACTACATATATTAATGGAAATAAATATTTAAGGGTACCTTTATTAAGGTTGGGTCCTAAAAATGAAATTTGGTTTCCGTCAAAATAATATTACCCTGGTAATTTAAACTGATATTGGAATATATCGATTTGATAGATTAATTTGTGTGTGAACATTAAAATGTTATTAACTGTAAAAGTCTGAGGTGTTTTAATATAATTATAGAAACCACAAACAAGCATCATAATTTGTTATATAGATAACCAATAATATTATTACTATATCGATATTGCCCAGGGCGTGCAAACGTTAATAATAACGTTATGACTTATAACGTTTTATATTTGACAAAAAAATGATTGAAATTTGTTAAACGTTTTATTATAACGGAAAGAGGCCAATTAAAAATAATTAAATACCGCAACAAAATTAACAATTAACAAAATATATTAAATATTATTAACAAAACAAAACAAAACGCAAAACGGAAGTTTATAGAATATCATTAAACGAAAAATAACTCAAAACTTAATTTATAGAATATCATTGAATGAAAAATAATGCATAACAAAATATTTTTAAATCTATTTATTTAAAAGGTCTATTGGTTTCGTAGAAACATTTATTTCATGAAAACAATCTAAGAATTGATTATATTATATTCTGTATTCGAGCCATTACCTCCCGCATTAGTTATTATTTTAAAATTTAATAGCTGGTATTAACACTATTTTAAATACCTAACGATAAACGCAAAAGTTAAGTAACGTAATTGTAAATAACACAAAACGGAATTTTTTTTTCAAATGCAAGCCCTGGATATTACTGTTATCAAATAATATACTTTATAAGTTATAACTAATATTCATTTAATGAAATAACTGTTATTCTTATATTTTTTTTATCTATTAGTATAATAGGCAGTAGGTAGGTCAAAATATGTTAATGTACCTACCCTTATGATCAAATTTAAACATAAAACCATCAAACACTATAATATTTTCACTAAGTATACTATAGGTACTCATTTTAGCAACAGTTAATTAACATCATTATGGGCAACTCGTTGCTTAAAACACAGCAGCTATTTCGATTAAAGTTAACATTTGTAAATTAATATTTTATATAATAGTAGAGTATAAAAGTATTTTTAAAGATTGGGTAAAATATTAATTTTAATGGAAACGGAAATTGAATTTTGATTTTGTGTGTCCACCGATTGTCGCGGGTTTCTGCTGTGTTTACAATAATCGTCAGTAAAGGCAAACCGATAATCGTATGTACACGTTCTATAATTTGAGTAATTCGGGGCTATAGAAAGATCAAACCTCAATATCGGATCGTGAGAGAAAAGGCTATAAAAGGCACGAGTAGATGAATGACCTATAATAAGAATAACGAAAAAAAAATCGTGTACTGTGATTCAAGTGGTACCTACTTTATATTTATTTATTATTGTATTCCGATAAACAGTATGCTGTAGTATGCACACATATATACATATAATATAATATAGATGTGTATGTTATATATTTAAATGTGTCCAAACTTCAATAAAATATTAAAGAACAAGAAAGTTTTTTTCCTGGGTGAATATTTTAAGTCATTGATCGATAGTATAAACCTCACGGTACACGAGGGTTTTCATGAGCCGTTAAGCCGTTGGAATGAACAAACAATACAATTTTTGATGGACATTTAATCTAAACACTGCTACATTATACTAATACTAACGTGCAATACTAATATATTATTGCAGGGATTCAGTTCGATGCTCCGGAGTTCGCCGATGTTCGTAAATGTCGTGTTCAATTCGTTGGTCGAATATCAGGATTCACAGCCGATACTCAATCTGTCGGTAAAAGAATTCCTATGGGGATACGAAGACAGGTTAGTGAAGATGGCTAGCAGTGTGCTGCCAACGTGGATCGACTTTTCCAAATTTGGGCTACTCGATCGGGTAAATATTATTATTGATTATAATAGGTGTGTACCTACCTACCGCTTCTATATTACCACAATATAATATTTTAAGTTTTAACAAAAATGTACCATGAACAAAAATATATAGTTATATCACTGCATGGCTTCTTCCCTCATATTTTTTTAATTGTCACTCGTATTATTTTTTTTTAGCATAGGTATCTTCTTACCGTACCCTAAGGCACGGATTGTATATTTGTAATAAAAAAATAAGATAAAAACACGTGTATCGGTCGTCCGGAATAATGATGAATTATTACTTCCGAGTAAACCAGTGTGTTATTTATTTACAACCTAGAGCGTATATAAAATTGTATAATTTATATTTAGAGGACATGATAATATTATTATGTTGTCCCGCATGTGTTGTCTTACGCAAGTGTGTACCGTAGCGAATTTTAACAAAACATCGCTAAACGAGAACTGTTGAACATAAATTTGCAACGTTAAGTAATTATAAGACAGAAAACAACGCCCGTTGGTGAGAAACCCTTTTGAATGAAAAATAAGTTTAAAACTTAAAAACTATTAAGATTTATTAATAATGAGTTGAGCTTATAAATCGAAAAAAATATAGGAACTTTCTTTAATAACTTGATCACTGTTAAGTCAACATTTCAACTACAAAAATAATCCGATATCATCCTCTTATAAATATAGGTAGTACCTACCTATAGAAAATATTATATCTTCTGATTGTAAAATTGTTAATCCTGATCGTCGCAGAACTGTTTTAATATCCTTGATTAGACCTGTGTTTATTTAAAAAAAATTACAATTTACTTATTATGAATTAAAATAACTTAGAATTACATCGATAATTTAATCGTATTAACCTCTTCATCAATTAAAAACTTATTTCCGACAGACATTTGAAATTGCAGTCTCATAAACCATGAATTTATTATGAATATTATCATGAAATATAACCAAAACAACATAACATGTAAATCAAGATTATAAAAATTGTAAATAATTATCAATATTTATTATTATTAAAATATAAAAATTGTTTAAATTCCTTAAAAATAGTTAACCATGATCATTTCAGAGGTATTTTAATAGCCTTGATCAGATCATAAAAAAACGCGTTTTAAATGTCATTTTACATTACGTACGTTATATACAAATCGATTGTCAAAAATGTATATGGGTACAATAAATAAATTAAATGAGGTACCTTGTCATTATAAATTAAAATTATTGTTGAAAGGTACTTACATATTTTGTAGATAGGTAGTCGTTGTATTCGTTTGGTGGTTTTGAATTTTTTTTCTCGTCTGTCGTCACGTTTTTATTAATTGTTTTAAAAATTCAAACAATAAATACATACTATTATGCATTGTCTATAGAAATTAATAATCAGATAATATTCACATAAGACTAATTATTGTACACGAATAATAACGATTTTAATTTTGAAGAATATTGCACTGAATTGTTTACACAATACAAGTTTCAATTACGTCCACAAAAAGTAGTCGTTTATCAATAATATTTAAAAATGCCGAGTTGAATAGCTTAAGGTCTCGTCGACGGTATTTTAGCTTTATACTCGACACCTCGCTTTAGGCGATAAAACAAAACTTTTAAATTGTATTCATTCATATAATATTTTATTATAAAGGCCATCCGTATATAGCAATGCCGCTAAATGTATAAAATATTTTAATGATTTATCTCCGTCGCCTTATTGTTACTCTCTGTTACGCGTATATGAATTCTTCGTGGATTTTTTTTTTTCAGAATATAATATTTGTAAAAAGTCGTGAAATTTTCATTTTATTTAAAAATTGTTTTCCCTCCGTCCGTCCACACTCGTGCGGATTACACGCGTACGGTTTTGATTTCAACATATTATATAAAGACCGCGTCCCCCGTGAGTGCCTACTCGTCATCTCCGCCCGCACACTTGAATGTGACCTGCAAATTCATACCATGCAGTAACCATCACACACGCCGAGTCGCATAATTTTCACATGGCCGTGTGTGTGTGGTTTGTACGAAGAGTGTTGTGGTGTGTGCATACAGAGTGTGACCAGAAATAATTGATACCCGTGTAATGTTATCAACCATATTATATTGACGTATAATGCATCCGCGACTACTTTGTTCCAATCGACGTTTACGTTTATTAATTTCTCAATAAAATGAATTGTCAATGATCATAATAAATAAATATACAATGGTTATATTATAATATTATAGTATGAATATCGATTGGAATAAAACATATTGTAGGTGTCGTCAATTAAATTTATCAGTTATGTCTGCTACACACTGTATACATAATATAGATGCCACCTCCTATCTATAGCACGTCAACCCTTTTCGTGGTGCATAATATATTATAAAAGGCGTATACACTGTACCGATACTGTACAGCGTCCCTATATACTCCGAACCCGATAAAAAAAAACGTACTTAAATCGAGAGAAACATATATCGTACAAAGTTGGTGTATCTTTAATATAAACATGGCACGGGGGATGCATCAAGTAATTTTTTTTTAACAATCTCCGAGGCAATTATTTTCGAGAAAAAAAATCACTAGCGAGTTTAATATTATAATACCCAATATGATCTGTGCGAAAACCTCAATAACTGACGAGATCCATATATATTATTATTAAATAATATTAATAATACTATGAGTACCTACCTTTTGGTTCCGAGAAAATAATATACAATAATACTACCTACACTAAGTAGATCAAATTTTACTGTTTATTGGGCGCACGCAGTAACACCGAATAGATAAATAATTTTACTAATGAAAATAATAAATAAAATGGTATAATATTATATATAGAAATATCATATGAGAAATATTTCCTACTACTTAAAATATCATATTTTTTTAAATTCCAAATTTAAGCTTTGTAAATTAATACGTATCGCAAACTTCAATATACGTTTTTTTTTTAATTTCGAAAACTATAAATAAACTATTCGAACATTTAAAAATTAAATGGGATATTTAAAATACACTAAATTCTGGAAATATTTCAAATACATTACCTAAGGTGGTTTATCTTTGTTCAAAGCCTTGATAAAGAAAATCCTCTTTGAATAAAATATTTAAAACAATATAGGTATAATATTGTAGATATATATCGTGTAACTAAAATAACTTCAGTCTTTAATGTACCATACTTAAAATATTTTGTAAGAAATCTTTAAATTGTTATGTATTTCAGAAACGCCATTAACCTTAGCAATTGAGGCGTATTAAATAATAATATATATACATATATACATACATTATAATATAGTTGAAATAAAGTTTGACTTATTTGTCATTGGTGAACACTGATTTAGGAAAATTGAAAACTGCTCTTTACTAATTTTCTGTACCACTTAAAAGTTTGAATTAGTTTTTACTCTGGAAATACATTTTGCTTTGCGTCCTTTATAATATATACAGCGTATCTAATGTTGTATAGTGACTATATAGTTGTAGGTATACTATACCAACAAGCTGTTGGTATAACTGTGTGTTTATTGATCAATATATTGTTTAAAATGTTGACATTGATAATGCCATCATATTACCATATTATATTTTATTTGTTAGGAACCTATACGTACATTATTGATTTATTTATACTAACAATATTATATTTTATTAGATGTTAGACGAAGGAACCAATGTCGTCACAATGAATGTGCCATCGGAACGACAAACAAGACGTCCCTATACAATAGATAATTTTAATGGATCACCGATCTTACACCAATGGGCCAATACAGATGAACCTAATGAGTTGTAAGCATAATATTACTACGTCGGTCGTTGGATGACGTCAATACTAGTACCTAAACCACCAACATTTAAATATGAAAAAAATTGTATGTATAAACTGTTGAAATTTACGTGACGTGTGCTGTCACGAACTTTATCGCTATTGACCAAGTATTATAGCGTTTATATTTTGATATTAAAATTATTCCTCGATTGTGTTTTCGAAGCATAATTGTGTAACTAAAATGGGTAACGAGTGTGTTAAAGTTAAAATTGCGTGTGTAAAATAATATCATGAAAAAAAATCAATCCAAACATTTTTAATTGACAATAGGAATTTATTTAAACGTCTACCAAAATATATTGTACCATAATATAGTACACTAGCTGATCCTGCACGGTAATGCTGTAACAAATTAAATATTGCCAGTGGCTTTACACTGTTTTAAACTCGCCGTTCAATGTAAACTGTACATAATTTTACAACAGTAACTGGGGCTGTTTTTACAAAACACAAGTCTAAAAATATATCCAATTATAATAGTTATTTTATTTTTCGTAATTTATTGGCAACCCCTTTTTAATAACTAGAATTTTGTAAACCCTTTTTATAGTGCTCCCAGTCATGGTAATATGAAAGTACCATGATAATTTCTAATATCTAGCTTTACATAATTTGTATGTAGGTTCATTGATTAGTGAAACAGTTTCTTGTTTTATACATTATACAGATATATATTGCATTGATATATTATTATTCATAATTTTTAACTTTTTTTTAAATATTATATTATACTATTACAATAAATATTGTAATAACTATTTTATTTCCTGTAACCAAAAGGAACCCTATACGAACAAAAATATATTCATATTTTTGTGAGTCAACCAATCCCTATATTAGTTCCTCTTTAAAAGAAAAATTAAAAAAAATAGCTTAGATATGCACATATTTGGGTATAGAATTATTTATGCGTGGTGTGTACCAAATTACAAAACCATATGCGCAATACTCTTGGCTGTAGATCGCTTATACTCAAGCACACACACACACACACACACACACACACACACACACACAAATTACAAAATATTCCTATCACATATGATAGTCATTTGGTTAGTTTTTAAGAGGCCTGCTCATGTGTCTTTAATAAGGGGCAATATTTAGGCAATATGCAATTTTGTTTCCGTCGCCCATGGCATTTGTTTTAGTCGTCAATGATGATTAGTGTGAAAGTGTATGGGGGTAACAACTTTACTACTGAGCTTTATTATCCGCATACACTATTGTGCACCGATTATGTCAACGGTACAGCCGACCAAAAATGAAAAGTGTGATTTTTTGCTCAAAACACGCTTTACAGGAAAAATCGCATCGTAGAGTGGGTTGTTTTCATTAATTTTTTGTTTCGTTAGAAAGAGGATAATTTTCTTCGTGGTGCATTAGACTTTGATTATTTATTTCGTTGCAAACATAATATAGTAAAAATAACAAAATCTTGTGAAAATTGGTCATATTAAAAATCGTATTATATGGCTTAGAACTAGAATTTTTAAAATCAAAGTCGAATGCACTCTGTATGGAGTATTTCTCTTCCACCCCCCCCCCCCCAAAAAAAAAAACTACATTGAAATCCTTTCACTCTACGAGGCGTGAGAATTTTTCCTGTAAGGCATGTTTTTGAGCAAAAAACAGATCACGTACAGGCCCCTTAAATACCAGATGATCGTCTCACATTCTGTCTATTTCAAATCTCTGTTGAATCATGTCCATATAAACATTGAATTGTAGCAAAAATGGTATTAACAAATCAGATTATTATAGTTGAAATATGTAACGTAGTTTTTAAAATGTTTATATAATTTAAAAAAAAAAATTCGGTACAAAAATGTTGGTACATTTTAACCAGTTTAATATGGGCTAGGTACTAAATTTGGTATTTATTTTTGGAATTTTAAGACCTATATTATATAATTCATATTATAAATTAATTATATTAACGTATATAATTGATTATAGTTAAATGGATTTATATCAACAGAAAGGTAATAATTTTGACTTTTTTTTTTTTTAATTTAAACTAATAATATACCTATCAAAAACATAATATATTTTGTACCATATTAATTGTTCGTATATTTTAAATTCTCTTGAACATCAATTAACTTGTTACTACTCTAGCAATAATTATATTATATTATATAAGTAAGAGTATTTTATTTAATAATTAATTACATTAAAATAGATAATCTAATTATATATTTGTATTACTATACAAGATATAATGAATTATTAAACACATAAAAAACAAACTAATAAATATATTTATACCTTAATAACTTATAATTTAAGGATTTGTAAGATAATAATTTAAAAACGACTAGATAAACGTAATCATTTATTTTAAGAACGTTTTCCTTTAAAAAAAATTAAATTTCTATTTCAATTTTTACGCATTGAATTCAAATTTAAAGTGAACTTTCCGAACACTGTCAGTTTCTTCAGTTCTATGATTTTCATACGATTCTATAAGTTCCAAGACCATATTGTACAAATGATAATGGTTTCGTAAAAAAAAGAAAATAATTGGATGATGAAATACCTAGTGAAAACTAATTTTACCGCATTTATCCACTGGGAGTCAAGACTCAACATAATAATATATTTACAGTATTATGAACTTAGTTATCTTCGATTAGTGTAATACTGTAGTTATCACTTATTTTGTGCAAATAGCATGCAATATTCAATATGCATTCTTTATATAGAATGTTAAATTTAATGCGCTTTTTTTTTAGGAATAAATGTTCGTTGAATGCATCATCGGAGGGATTACTGTTCCCCAGACACTTAACCAAAGACATGAATTTTCCAATTTACCGAAAAGCCTTTTGCAGGACATTGCCGTTGACTTATAGCTCTACCAGCGATATGCCCATTGGGTACCCCTCTGTTTATCTATACAAATTCTTGCCAGACGCCTTGAATTCTTCTCTAGACGATAATAAATGTTATTGCCCGCGAGACGGGTGCTTGCCCGCTGGACTGTCAGACATATCACCGTGCTACTACAGTAAGTCAAAAATATCGTATTGATATTATAATAATATTATAATTTCGAATAAGTCATTACCTACTAAAACCTTATTATAATATTAGGTATGCGTTATATTTTTTTTTTATTTTGGTGTAACTTGAAATAATTTATATACACTATTTTTAATGGTATATAATGAAATTTTTTACTGTCTACGGTAGTCATAAAAGTTTTTTCTCATTTGTATTTAAAAGTTATAAAGAACAAAAGAGAGCTTTATGAAAACATGATATTTTAAGGCGACACATTTTGTATACGTTTTCCCACTTAAGTTTGTCATTTAAGCAACAATTTACCAATGATTTAATGCTGTACTTCTCAATAAGGGAAAGGTTAAATTATACTAAAAGTGTGACGTTCCCACTTTATTATTGTTTCCGCCGCGGTCAACTCGACGGATTATCGCTAGTTCCGCATTATTATTACGATCATCACGTTTTATTTTATTTTTATATTAATCCACTCGTTGATTTAACTCTGCGAATTACCTTACAGATATACCGGTGGCAGTGTCGTTTCCACATTTTTACGGCGGCGATCCGGCGTTGTTGGACAATGTCAATGGAATTGCTCCCAACATGGAAAAACATCAATCGGTAGTTGCCGTACAACCGGTAATGAACGATTTTAATAAGATGCCGTTTATAACACCGTTTAAAAATGTCCGTTTAGAGTAAAACCTTAGCGAAAAGTGTCCATGGCTATAATATAATATTATTATTATAAATCGCTAGTGAAGGATTTATACATAGATACGAACTATATCCACCAGTCGTTAATTTTTATGGAGGTCTGGAAGCATGTCTCTCGTATTTTAAGGTTCCAGCAACTTGTGAACAAGGGTGGATCAAGTCCACTCAAAACCCAGAGGTCGTGATACTTAGATGAAGGCCCTCCAACCGATGAAACACAGCGCTGTATTTCATGTCAGATGATTGTACAACTTTGTAGTACCTAACTGCATACTACAGCCATATGCATGACTTTATGCTTACTATTATGGTTATTGAATTTGAAGTAGAATACCAAAGTATACATTTAAATATGAATTTAAAAATTGTTCATTAGATTTACAACAATATCATATTATAAAGTACTTAAAGCATGGCCAGTATGAAATATATTAAGTTTAAAACAATAAATCAATAATATACTAAAATTAATATAGACCATTTATAAGAATTATTTAAACTTTTAGTTAATCATAAAATTGCTACTAAAATTAAGTATTTAAATATGGAAGGCTTTATAACGATAGTGTTAGGTAATAATTTTTAAATTAAAAAAAAAATATAAATAGGTAACTATTTGATATAATGGGTCTCATAATCTGGTGAGCGTATTTGTCACCAAGCAACAAAAGAATAAGTATAGGTAAAAATGAAAAAGTTCAAGAGACATTCATGTTACTTTTGGTATCGACCAAAGTACTTTTTTACTGTAAATCAAAATCGCCAGGGACTTTTTCTCATACCTAAGGATGTCTCATAATAATCACAACTCAAGCCCACTAATAGTTTGAGTCCAGCTATACTTTGTTCAGATAACTTTGGATGACTTTGCAAACTTTTTAACTGGCATCGTATGTGACGTAGTATAGCCATTATATATATAGGGATTACACATTATATACATATTATAAAAAATATATATTTTTAAAATATCGATATTAATGCTTTCGGTATAAGGTCAACCGATACCGTTCCATTGTCCCGAAAACTTCACTAGATACTCGATATAGTTAATACAAAAACAAATTTTGCTTTTTTCTCTACAAAATGTACAATTGATTAATATTATTTTGTTTTAATAACCTTGCTATGGAAATCGGCATAACCGGCTTGAATCACCCAAACGTTAACGCTCTGCGGGTACAATTATATTATATTATGCCACTGCAGACTACACTTTTTTGTACTGCAATAAACATCAAACAAAATGTCATTGTTTAAAAAAAATCTTACGTTTTTTTTTATTTTTATTTTAACAAGTCATAATGATTTTTTTGCTCATATTAAAAATTTGCGTCATTAAAACCGGAAGTAAAACTAAATAAAAAAAATCACTCGCTCTTCAAACGCAATTCGTATTTGTAGCCCGGAAAGCAAAAAAAAAATAAAATTAATAAATGTCTATCGAAATAATTATTCTTAAAAGGTCAAACAATCGAACCAGAAAATAGCCATCGGTAAAACAAAAGGTTTTCAATCCGACACCTATGCACCTACTATGGGAACAATGGACACTATTCGAATTAACCATATTATTATTAAATACTTACCGAATGTATGGTTGTTGATGCTTTTGTTTCCTCAGGATCTTGGTATACCCTTGGCCGTGGACATCAAAATCCAGTTGAATCTGATCATAAAGGCCACGAGGTACGTGAGCCGCGCCAAGAAGTTCAACGGATTGACGTTGCCGATATGTTGGTTGCACTTGGTAAGATTTATCACGCATTACGATAATTTTTAGGGTTAGGTGGGTGATGGAGACAGTTATAGTGCTTAAGTAAACCATAATAACAAAATAATCAGTTACCTATATAGGTAACTGATTGATTGTGTTCTCTGTCGATAATCCATTATGATATTAACTGACGGTTATGATGGAACTTTCGTATATTTTATTCTCTGGTGAACCGATGCATTGTGGGGCGAAGGTAATCCGTGGAAAAAATATATAATATTATGGAGGCGAAATAATACTAAAATCCGGTTACGCCGTGTAATTTCTTTTTCTTTTTTTTTACAATAATACAGCTCTGTGTGAATGACACGCCCGTCTCGTTTGTATTTTTTTTTTTTAAATACTAAAAAATCTATAAAATTATAATAATAATAACAAAACAAAAATAATCCATAAGACCCGCAACTGCTGTATAGCAGGTTTTAACTTTTTCTTACACCAGATGCTACGTCGGGTTCTAAAAAATCTTACTTACATCATGGCCATATACGCCATGGTGCACAGTATTGGAACTGTATTGAGTCAAAATACAAGTTATTTCACAAGAGTAAGAAAACTTTTATAGCGAACAGGGATAGTCACTATTCACTTGATCTTAATAACGGTAAAATGATGGGATACACTTGAAAACTGCATTTTTTTATTCATTTTTTCTAGAAACCATATTCTTTGATATACTCTAATTGTTGTTATGTATAATCTTAAAAGGCGTTCAGAGTAAAGCGTTAAAAAAATCGATCGGGATAATATATTGCGACTATAATATTATACGAAAATATGACTTTTATCGTTTTACGCGTTATTTTTTTTTCTTTATCCTAGACGTTATTATATTATAATGGTTTCGTGTGCCTTATACGCCTATAACATTATAATAATATATCACTGATAATGTTTATTATTCACGAATTAGGTACCTACGCGTGTTAGGCAATCGATAATGTTATTATTTCCGAAACGCCTTGACTGCGTGCAATTAACATCGGTATATATACTTTGGTATACGCAAACTTTCGACGTAAGTACGTGCCGATAAAATACATAATGCATACACACTCATATAATAGTAATAATAATATAACACCAGCTGTACGTATGGGCACACACACACACACACACACATGCGTATAATATTCGCACTAAATAGAGTTATTAATTTTCGAGTGATTCGTTTCATATGAAATTGATTATCATCGCAGCTCATTTGCATAGCTCGGGTGCAATTAACTAATTTCACTCGTGTTCGTGTGCGTATACTGGTTTTGGTATATTTAATTTTTTTCCCAACGTTCATCAATGGCTGACGTGTACGCATAAATTACCGCCGTGTTCCAAGGCTCACGATTCTTATTAGCAACGAATAAACCGCCCGGGGCTCAGTGTCCGCGCAATTTGTCTGCGGCTTAATATAATGATACGTCGATTAGTGCGAATATAACAATTTAACTCGTTTAAAACAATATACTACATCAATTTATAATAAATTCAATAACGACGATTCACATAGGCAACTGCCACGGTGGTATAATAACAAAATTGTAGGTTTCGCACTTTTGCAGTTACGATGTGGGTAGGTACTTGGTAAGCGAAAAAACATAAATCGTATCGTTCGCGTGGCACGGCTATTTGCACTCGACGGCGCACGCAGTAAAAAAATCAGACGAGAAGTGAAAATTTACTTTGTTTCGTCCAAACGAAAGATACATGAAACGCATAGGACGATACGTATTACAATAGTCATATAGTAATAAAAATAATTATATTTTATTTTATGAATGAGAACACAATAATAGTGGCTTATAAAAATAGTAAACATCGCCAAGTGTTTGAATCGAGCCGAAACCGTCGGACCGTACCTACGTTAAAAATATGTAATTACATTGTTACCCATAGGCCATAACATAATACAATATTAACAGTCGAAAATCGCTTCTGGCTGACCCCCTATAGAACAATGTAGAAATGTAATATGCGAAATAATATAGTTCGTAATATGTTCGCCTATAGGTATACTTACGGAAAACCGCACCGGTCCGCGAACTCCAAACTTTTCCGATAAAATAAATCCCAGAGGAAAAACTTATTATTTTTATATTAAACCGACCTAAACAATTTCAAAAATCTAATCAATATTATAATATATATTAATATCAATTCCCGGGACAAGGAGACTACGCTGGAATAACTTTCTTTAATAATTAAAAATTAAAAATCGTCAATTATTAGGTTTTGCTCGATGAAAATTTATCTGATGTTTGGATTAGGGTTCGTTATAAAATTTTAAAAAAAGAAAACAAATTAAAATTCGTTTGTAAATTTCTTGCTTGAGTCTTTTTTGACTTTTAATAAAATATAGAAAAATATACTACAGGGTCCACGGTTATTGATAGTTATGCATTTAAAATAACTTAAAATAATTTATATTTATTAGTTTTTAGTTATTTTAATACTCTAAAATGACAAGGATTTTTTATAGAAATATCCAAGGCTAGGCATTAACGAGTTAATAAGTTAATAATATGAAGTGCCGTCGTTGGATGGTCCCTTATTCTATCATATCTACATGCTTATAAAAATTCTATTCTATGGCGGTTCTAGCGTAATTACGAAGAATTTAAAATTTTTTAAGACAAAACACAAATATATTTTTGTAAATAAATCTAATGATATAGGAAAAACATTAGTCGACTATATGAATCCAATTAGCCATGATCCAATGAATTATTATTATATCCATAATAGATATTTTTATTTATTTATTATTTTTTATCGCGGATTGTGCCTATTTATAATAACGGTATATAGAATGGTTATTATTAAGGTATATTATACTTCATTTTTATCCCCCTACTTACAATTTTTAAAAAAACTATACTTACTTAGTACTTATAATTTACTACCACAAATTGCCCTTATAGAAACATAATATAATAGGTATTATATAAAGTAAAATACCAGCTTATGAAAGTGGATGACAAAACATTTTTATTTCTTGGAAAATAACTTAACTTATTAATTGAAACTAAGTTAAGTTAATGGTATTCGTCATTTTAATTTTAACTTTACTGATAAGGTCAAAATATCTATTAATTTATTTTAAAAAAATAGTAAGCTATACAATATTAAATACCTACCAAACTCATTAACCGAGTTATAAAATATCAGTAAATGGAATTGGAAATAAGAAATATTTCACTGGATAATTAATATTCATTATTTTATTTATTTTGATATATGATAGTTCTTGAGAATCATAATATGTGAATATTAAAATACATAGCAAAGGGAGGTTTTTTGTTGATTAACACCCTACAAAATACAGCCTTAAATACGCGCCCCACAGGCCACAGCGTCTTGACATATAGGTACACATTTATCGATCTTATTCTTATACAGTATACTATATTTGTACATTGTATTTATATTATTGTGTTACTAGTTAGTACATATACGATACTTAAATAAATTAAGTATAATTTATCACAGTTATTGTGATAGGACTAACCAGTAGTTATGAACAAATAGATAAATAGAATTGCGTATAAGCGTGGGACTATAATTTTATATTTACTGAGTCAATGGCCTTAAATTATAACGTTTTATAAAAGATTTTCCTGATATCAAAACGGAAAACAATAATAACAATGATCATCGAGTCTAATAAATCTTCAACAAATGATGATGTTACACGATTTGACGCTCTGTCGGTCGTTCCTTCAATGGCATTCAACTCGATTCAAATTGTTGTTTGCCCGGCCTTCGGTGTTGGAGTGAGAAAAACTGACATAATATGACGAATAGACAGCGTGTGGGTGAGAGAGAGAAAGAAGATCACATTACCCATCAGACTTATATAAAAATTCGGAATTGGAAAAAAAAAAATCGAAATCCGTTAAGAGGTCAGCGAGTTTGTCGAACGCCGCAAACTCAAATTCTGCACGTACCTACTTATAAAAATATAATTTAATATTTATTTATTTGGAAGTCATAGTGGGTAATTCACGGTTTAATCAATATACACTAACACGCATTTTTTTTAAGTGTTTTGCGAGTTGCGATGGATTTCATTGAAAAAAAAAAAAAATACATTGATATACACACACACATATGTCACATAAAACCACACACTTCCGACTTGTGTTTTTTTTCTATCAATGATTGGTATTGTTTATAAAAACGTTGTTCCAATGATTCCTATATACAGGCTGATTCTTTTAACAGTAACCACTCATTACCTAGGAAAGTATTATTGTTTTTAAAAATATTTGTTTAAAATGTTTGAAAAAAAATTATATCTTATAATCATTAATTATTAAGTTAAAACCCTCTAAAACAATAAATTCCCTACATACAAAATTAGATTATTTGTCTGTGAATTTCAATATAATATCTAAAATAAAATTATGAAATGAATAGTCGAGTACCTAGTGCTTTACTCTTTACTTTTGATAAGCAGAGTTTAATACTTGTTAACTACTAGTTTGAAATTTGTATGTGCTTTTCAAACATATCGGAGTTCTCAGAAAAATATTGCTAAATATAATATAATACTGAAAATGTGTACTTACTTAAATTGAAAAATTAAGAAAAATCAAAATTTAGGAAAATCATGCAAAGAAAAAGGTTTTAAAAAAAACAGTGAGTGTTAATCGTTTAAAAGAATCATCAGTTTTAACTGACTAATTCTAAGATCTGAAAAATTTTGAGCACATTTTTTAATACACGATCAGAGGATCTACGAGTATTATAATAGTAATATACTCTGTATGATAAACTGCTATACCCAAGTCATATTTCCTGATTAAACCTTAATCTTATGGAGTAAGGTTGGAGACAATTTAAACGAGTGAATATAAAGTTGACATTAAGTCCGAATAGAAACTCCTAACCTCGGAGATAGATATTTTAATTAACCCGGGCCCTTTTTATGGGTCAAATGGGGGAGGGGACAGCTAGATTGACACATAGGGAGAACTTTATTATCTCTGTGATGTCTCATATATTTTGTTGTTTGCGCCCCCCTTCTTTACCACACTGACGAGGCTAATCAAACAATTATTCTGTTTTTATTATTTTATATAAATCATGACATAATAAACTTAGGTACCTAAAAATAAATAATATTTATGGTTTAATGTTGTATTGCATAATAATAGAGAATACGTTTACACTATGAAAAAATAATTGAAAGCAGTAATATAGCTTATCTTAAAAGTTACCTACATCGAATTTTTTTTTTTTAGTACTGAAAGTTAGAAATAAAAGAAAAACAAAGATTAGGTATTTTACGTGCAACTGGATTTGATAAAAATATATTTATTTCACAATAATATATTATGACGTATAACACTTTAATAATAGGTACATATTATTATGATAATTTATTCTCGACAACACGTGATGGAATCGACAACGACGATTTCTGAGGATCCGTTTCATGACCGAGTTCGATTAGGAAACTTTAAATTTAATGTTTTTTTTTTTTTTTATACAAACAATCCAGCTTGAAACTGAATAGAACAATATTATTTTATCCTCTTGAACGTAAGCGTCAGAAGTTAAAAGCATATTAAGTCGACTGCTAGACTTAAAAAAAACTTTTCCGAAAATCTCGGGACCGAATGGGGATTATATATATAATATGCAATTTTGCACTGCAAATCGATATCGGAAAACGACAGATCGACGAGGTTGCTCGTGCATATAGGAGGAATATAATAATATATATATTATACATATATGTAGAATATTTTATCCGCAGCACATGGAGGCACGTGGTTTTCCTTGACATTCGGCCGTCGGATATATTGTATTGTCGTAGGTAAGGATAAATAATGATAATTTTTAAACGGAGTTTACTTTGTATTATTACATTATACTGCTGCTGAGCCCATCGTAATATCCATCGATCGTATAGGAATTTCTTCTGAGCGGAGCCAAGGATGGGAAATATCAGATAAAATATGAATAAACTAAACGCCATTATATCCGACATCGACGGTCGTACACAAACGCGGACAATACGACAGTCCGATAATTTTATGTGCTCTTACTTCCCACAATATTATCCTAAACATCACCGAAATATGTTTCAAGTCTGCGTAAGCCGGAACAGAAAGGGACGAAACTTAAGGGGGGGGGGTGCTTGACGCCCCTGATAAGTGTATAATTATCAAATTATTATCTCTTGTAAGCGATGACGAAATTCCTCTATAATTCTTCGTAGATTTTACGATTCAGTAAAAATGAACTACTTCAAAAAAAAATTTAGAAAAACTTTGAACCATAATAACTATACTGTTAAAATAAGGGCTTGGAACTGTAAATATTTTTTCCTATTTCGATTTCGGTTTTGATTACCGGTATTGGTTTTTTTTTGTTTTGTTTTCGGTTTCGGTATCGATTTTGGTTTTTAACGGTTTTAATCAGTATTCAAAATCGGTATCAAATATCGGTTTCAAGCCCTGGTTAAAATATGTTTTGGTTTTTTCGATACATTTAAAATGTGCTTTGATGTTTTTTTTTTTTTATAACTCGAAATTTTGGAAAAAATATATATACTATTTGGTATATTTTGCTGTACCTTCGTAAAAAGAAAAAAACAATTGTTGTTAATTTCAAAAGTAAATCCGGATACATAATATGAACACATTAACGACACAAAAAAGTTAAATATTGATTCAAAATTGATTGATTTAATTTAAATTCATTGAGATTTATTATATATTTTAGAGCCAAATTTAAGCGATATTGGTCAAAATGTAAAACTAAATTAATAACTCTGTAACTCCGTCTCTACCTACATATTTCATAAGAACTTGTTATCGACTAGACTCTCTATAAAAAGGATTAATAAATAACGGCTCAGATAACTAATTAGTTCCTGTTTATCAGGACAAGTTTAAAAAATACACTTCCCTGTAGATAAAATACAACACCTGTCACGGGTTATAGACCTTAACTTTTGAATTCTTTTTGTTATCCAGAGAGAAATAAAAAACGTATGCCCACCTAAAACTATAAAAGTCAATAGACTTAGATTGTAACAGACTATTTGTCACTGACATAAAACTATCAACCGTGTAATAAAAAAACATCATAGAAACGTACGTAAAATGTGACACGGTAATCGTTGAAACTGCTATAGTGACTTAGCTAGTAAAACTTTTTTCATCTCACTTTAAAAGTGGGCTCAGGAGCCCAATATACTACTCGGCGGGTTTATAAAATGCCATAATATAATCGATTTAAAAAAAAATTGCTATTGTTTTTCCCCGTACACGTCTAAAGCTGAATACCGTTAAATCAGCACAGTATTATATGAATCAGTCAACATCTCAACACTTGGCATGAAACAGAGAAATATAAATTTTGAACTAAGTTTCTTACAGGAATAGTTATTGACGTATTATTATAATATTATTATTTCGTAACGACTTGTATTCTACACGGCGTTAAAAGCTTAAAATGGGAGACTGTACACGAATTATAATATAGGTTATAATTTTAAAATACCCACCGTGGCAAATGGTCGAATGCTATCCGAAGGATGTTCGATAATAATCAAAGTTGTCTGACAAGTGGGTCATAAGTGAATATATAATTGAATAAATTAACGCTGTTAATTATACATATTATACGAATACAAAAACGTTTAATTATGTATTATTCTCGCTACAAATGTTATAATATTTTTTAAATTATTGTTTTTTGTTTTCCATGACTTTCTTGACCTGTGGAATAGAATGTTTGAGTAGGTAATAGACATTCAGCTACAACGTATACTTTAATATTTCTCATCATAATATGGTGGTTAGCTCAGAAACAAAAGATTTAAACTCACCAACTACTTATCGATTGGAGATCATGATACACATCGAAATGACAATTCATAACTGGTTTAAATAATTATATTTTTACGATAGGTACCTAGTTGTCCTTTATTGAAAAATATTTAAATAATTATAAATGGTACTAATCATACCTACATAATTATTTATCGAAGCGATAATTACATAGATATACATTCTATATATTTAATACAATTAGGTAATAAGCTTTTATTATTACAGTTATTGTGGTCTGAATCACACTGAGGTTGACGAATGTTCGATAATAATTGTACAGTAATTTAAGCGTTAACGCCCTTGATCCGATGGTTTTGATAATATTATGAACGAAAATAACATTTTAATATCACGATTAATAGCTTTCAGTGCTTGCTGTAATTCTAAAAACAAACAAAAGTAATTTAATAATAATACATCTATAGAAATGAAGAAAAATTATAATAAGTTATCAACCATAAAAATATGGTTGATAACGTAAAATGGATTAGAAATACACCGGCTTTCTTTCTATAAAGATCTATTTTAATTCCAACTGCTAACTGATTTATATGTATAATTATGCGATAAAGTCTTTGAAAACAAATTTAAGTTGATCAATTTGTCTTATTTAGATCTTAAGTAATAAAAACTTTTAACAACATTTGATTTTCAAAACGTATCAATTAACGCTTCTTCGTATAAATAAATGGAAAAATTATCATAGAATCCAATTTAAGCATAATATTAAGACTCAAAAAACTGTTTTCAATATCAAAATCTCAGAAATTCAACTTTCGGTATGATAATATAATAAAAATGCAATTAATTTGTTATAATATTCAGCATAAATATTGCCTATATTAAACTCCTTAGAAACGGTGCGTATACAATATGGATGATAACGATAAGAAATGTTCTAAAATTATAATAATATAATTAAACATCCGAAATTGTTTTTATTGTTTCTAAACTAATTATTTTATGTTTTTAAACTTTAATGACAACGGCTTTAGATGCTCATAATTTACTTTGAGTTGGTATTCATGTAATTATATTCCTAAAAGTTAAAATGTCATTATAATATTGCCCATCATATCATGCCCCTTAATATTTTTACGTCCATATAAACTCTTGCCCAGAACCATCGGCGTAACTAGGGGATCTATGGGTGGGGAGGGAACATCAGGTCAACTATGGCCCAAATCAGATTCAGTGATATAGCTATAATACATTTTTTAGAAAGATAATTATCTAGTAATTTTATGGTTAATAATATATATTCTACTTAGTTAATTGTTTACATTAAATTTTTTATGATGAGGGGAGGAGGCGCTTTTATTGTATGGTTAATTTTCAACATTTATGTTAGAGGAATCCCTCTTGGCCCAGTGCCTGTTATTACTGCTAAACTCTAGTGACGCTAATAATAGCTTGATTTGAAGGGGGCGGGGGAGGCTTTTCACCACACGTGTTTCTGAACAGTTATTTTGAACTTTGAATTCCTAGGACTCTAGCCCTTGCCGTAACTATTAAATCCTAGTTACAAGCATGACCGTAACACGTATTCCCATCATGTCACTCGGAAATGAATTCACACGACGTGTCTTGTTCGCAGGAAGTGAAGAGCCTGCCAAGCTCGCTGAACGCGCTGCTCTACCTTTGCTTCAACGTCGGACCGGTGCTGGTCAAGGCGGTGGTCGCGCTCACGGCCTCAGTTGGCTTTTTCCTGGTCGGCCTGTCCATCAAACGGTTCGGCCGAGGTCAGCAGAAACAAAAGCATCCGGTCAACGGGTCGGCGGGTGGCGATCACGAGGGCGGCCGTGGTAGAGGCTGCGAAGACGACAACGACGACGACAACGGTCGCGGTGACGACTACGAAGACGACGGCGGTGGCGCCGAGTCGGGTGGGCTGATCGTCAAGTGTGGGCCCGCCGCCGGACGGTACCGCGACAAGTCGTACTTGCCGTTGCACCACGTCACCGTTCCGGGGTCGTCGTCGGTCGTCGTCGATTACGACCACTCGCAGGACTACGCGAGAGGACGATGACGATGAGACGATAGTAATACTATCTACCTATTTATATATTATTATAAAATATTTTGTTATTATTATAATGTCGTCATCATCGTTATTATTGCCTTCATACACCTATTATAGAATTATTGTAACACGTCGATGTCGCGTCATTTAAACGTTATTTATTCATTTTTATTGTCATAGACCATATTATATTATACCATGTACCGGGTGTCAGGCTACGTTAGGTCAGGTTACCTAGCCTAACCTAACCTATAATATATATATGTATATATATATATATTTTGTGTTTTGGGGAAATTTATCTGCCAGTAGAGCGTATAGGTACATAATATAATATATTATCGTCCCCGCTATTAAATTATATCGAGCACCACGTCACCACTTATGCCTACCATATATTTTATACCTACATCGCACACACTTCGGTTAGGTCGATTTCGTACAACGTCAGTGAGAAATCTGTAAATCTGGAATGATGGTACAAACAATTATCCATGGGTAGGCTGTGTGGATGGGTGTGTGTCTGCATGGGTATTGAGCGACGTTTATTCGTAAATCGTAATATATTTGAAAATCTTCTGTCCCGGCCATTTTGGGTGGATCTATTGTGTTGTGGGAAGTGTGGTCAAAAGCGCATAATTGTACGCAATATATACGCTTAGGGATTCAGGTTTTGGGAATTGTTTTTGACCCTATCTACATTAAATTATCATGAATTTTATATGATTTAATTTCTATGAAGTAATCATCTCAGTGGTTGGCTTCACACATATAATCAATTGTGGCATTATATGTATCGGTTATTGGTTTTTTCACTGTATTTCCGATGAAATCGTTCGTCTTGATATTAAAACTCCCCCAATAACGTATGTGTTGTTCTTCTACTTATGTTTCGACTATGCTTCTACTTATGTTACCGCCTACCTACGACTGAAGTAGGACAAAGATAGCAAAAGTCAATAACACCGCAATTATTATTAATACACAACCACTACGCCAGTGAATATAATACGTGGTTTAATGAGACCTCGAGTGCAAAAACCGTAACACAATGTAACATTATATACGCGAGTACGCGACCCTTACGTTAGTTACCATAAATACATATTTTCGGAGAATTTCAACTAGTTCCCAAGTCCAAGCCCTCACCTACGTATCAATATCTTTATTATCAGAGAAATTAATTTCCTCGCATAGACTATACGTTCACATAAACTCAAACTCATGAAAACGCCTTCCATTCTGTTCGGGTCGGTCGTGCCAGGGAAAAAGTGGCGAAATCGTTATGTGCCGTGAAAAAAATTCGGCAGAGCAGTTGTAGTGCCTCATAATAATAATATAACACATCGGTAGGTAGGTGGGTATGGGTCCTGATACGCCCAGATTTCGACATCAGATTTTATGACCGTATATATGATATATATGTGGCAAGTTCCCCGAGGAGATTACGATTAAAGTGGGCGAGGAAATAACCTGCGTTGACAATGCCGTAACGTCGCCCCTATAATATATATACTAGTTTTATTTTTTATTTTTGGACTTCTTTGACGATCGAATCCACCCGAAAATACCGAAATATTTCGTTTCTGGGGACAATATATACCATATAAATTCAACGGAATCACCACCTCCAACGCACAATATATATATATATAAATATAAGATAGAAGTTACACTCGTTCAAAAAAAAAAAAAAAAACTGTTGATACACATTATATTAATGTTTAATATTATACCTACTACTTACTTTGTTGAAGAACGTTTTCGGGCGGAGGATTTATCGAAAATCTTTGGAACATAACCTCCATACATATAATACGTTGTCGCCGTACTATAATAATGGTTGAAAAAATATTACGTTTCACTCGCTTGCCTTATTGCATACAATTCGTGATTGTTACTATTGTTTTTGAGATGTGTACCTACTTATAATAAATCGTAATACATTTTTGTGGCAACTGCAGTTATAATAATTAACGTGCAGTGTATTTAAGTTGTACGAAATATTTGTTATGAATATAAATAATCAGTTGTTTTGTATATAAAAATATATGTTTTATTTGTATATTTATATTGTATCATATATTTTGATTATATTCATTAAAAATAAAAAAAATTGAAATAATTATGCTGATTAAGCAATAATAAGAGTTGACATATTTTTTATTTTTTATTTTTTTATATAAACTGAAACACCTTTGGACAATTATTACACAATTGTAATGGTTTCTTTGTTGAACGTCGTTATAGAGTTGTAATAAGACAAAATAAATATTTATCTTAACTATAATATTCCTAATTGATGAGTCATACTAATTATGTATACAGTTGTATAATATCCACATATCTACACAGTATTTTCGGTAAAACATTTAAAGATTGACTTCGTTTAAATAGGTTCACAATATCATGTGTTCATATTATTTTTTTGTAAGTACTTACCTTTTGAAAGATATTTCTGTTTTTTTCTCTTCAGTATTCAATTTTATTGAATTTATTGGAAAACAATTTTGACATTAAAATCGGAATCATTAATTTAGCCTAAATCACTACTAATGAGTGTACTGACAACTTATATTATGAATTATGATTGTGTTTAAAATACGTTTGTTTTCATTTATTTATATGCAATTATATAAGGAATCAATTACAACATATTTATTTGTTGTCACTATTGTCAAGATCAAATATTATTTTGTAGTTTGCAGATGATTTTTGAAAAATTCTCCCTTGGCATATTATAAAAGGAAGGGACTTATTATGTTAGGTCTCTTCACAGGGTATAACAGCCTAACAGGTAAGACCTTATATTGTATACATGTGTAAACATTATAATATCTATGACACTTCATACGCCTCGTTAAAATTGAAAGTGTTAGATCCTACACAAAAATAAGACACAATTTCTTTCTTTATTTAAAATGTAGCTAAATCACTACTAAGGAAAAAGGACTAACAACTGATATTATGATTGTGTTTAAAATGGGTTTGTTTGAATTTATTTATATGAAATTATAAAAGAAATCAATTAATTAATATATTATTTATTTGTTGTCAAGATCATCAGATGTTATTTTTTACCATATTAGTATTTTTTTTCCTATGGTCTTTTAGTTGATTTTCTTTGGTCTATTATTATACTCATGTTATTATTTTTAAATACTTATTTATCTTATACCTAGAACTTATTCATGAATGGTTTTACATGCTATGTCCCACATAGGAAGTTATTTAATTGTTTAAAAGTTAGTTAATTGTAATAATATATATGTGACCACCTATATGGTGACATACAGTGCCACATTTAGACATTTTGCGCCCCGGTGCAAAAAAAAAAATTGGCACCCCCTATGCACAGTGAAAAAAAATTGCTCCCCCCTAAGGGACGTACCCACGGAAAATATGGGAGATAGATCATCATTAACCTTTTAGATTTTGAGCAAAGAAAAGAATATTTATTTTATAATGTGTGCTTTTTTTAAAAATATTCTTTAATAATTGCTTGGATCCTCCTCCTCAAAGATACATTTGAGTTTATGTCACTTAAACCTTGCTTATAATTCATCATAAAAGTGGTTTTTTTAACATATTTAAGTACGTACTTCATGAATTAATAAAATAAAATGATATAAAACTATGCAAATTAATATTTTATTAATGGCTTACACAATCAAAAAATATGGTTTCATAAGGTGGCGGTTTGAGTCGTGGCCTCCTCTCGGCCTGGCTTGCTAGCCTGTTGGTACTTGCTAGCCCGTCAGTAAGCCAGTCTGTACTTGCTAGACTATCAGTTAAATAAGGCGAAAGATTTTTTCGATTTGAAAGGGAACCGGAGTTAACGTTTTAACCTTAGCCCGTCAGTATTTTTTAAAATTATATTTATAGCATAGTAAAAACTCTCTCATTGTCGTAGTAGGTACCTATACGTCTTATCCTCGTACAGTCGTACATAACCTGTACTAAAGAGAAATAAATAATAATTGTATAAATCATTTGGATTTATTTATTCTTTCCAGACTAGCAAACTATAGGTAGGTTCTTGGAATCCATTATGATTTTTGAAAGTTTGATATCGTACAAATAGTTTCCTTCCGTACAAAAAAGACCGTGATAAATTAACGTCTGACTTGATCGGCAGATATTTACCGAAATAACTAGATACAATTTAAGACTGAGGCATCTCCGTCTACTTTTAAAATAGTCCCAATTGGCCTGCCGAAATAATGCACCATTATATTGTATATAATTAAATTTAAATTGTATTTTTAGATTAACAGATGAAATAAATAAACAAATTACCTGCTATCTGTTAAGTAAGGGTTTATATCATCGCTCAAAAAATATGCCATTTATGTGCACTACCATGGCCATTGGGTGATAAAAGACTAAATTATCCCATTTTTTTTTTATTGTAGTTAAAATATTACCTAGTTATCAGTATAAATTTAGAAAACGCTGGAGTTGTATTTGCTAAACTTAAAATTCACAGATATCCGCCTTTTCTAGAGAATAAATAATTGTAGATATACATCTAGATACATATATATCAGATTTTTATTTATTTTGTATAAATGTGTATTATAATATAATATTTACATAATTGAAGATTGATAAAAATCAATACCCCTACTACTTTTTTGTTTTGCTACATTAAATTTTTCTTAATCGAGTTTTTAATGGATCTTCACAGGTCAAGTAGGTAATTAATTATTTATTATCTTTTAGTTTATAAATTATTTTTACTAATTATGTTGATGCAATCCACGATCTATCAAATATTTTTATATAGTCTGGTGAAATTTCAAAATGGCCTACTTGAAACCTTGAGAAAACGAAAAAAAACCTGAAATGACGCCCCTGATTTAAGTACATTACATCAATTCAACAGAGTTATACAAACCGCTATTAAGAGAATTCATCTCGGTCAGGTCATGTTTGATCGCAATTATTGTCTTTATTATGTAGTCGAACGGCTTAATAGTTGAAACTAATGTGACCGGTGCCCCTCGTCCTTTTTTAGCAGTTGTCTTTCGATCTTTGGCGTTGTTTTGCTGTGTTTTATAATCAGTTTTTCGTATACGTTTGTTCGTCACAGTGATCACCGAGCCCATTAATAAATCATTTGATATACAATATTGGTCTTACGACTGAATCTTGTCTCGGTCGCAATTTTTTTTTTTTGATTTTGATATATTTGAAAACCCGTTTAGTAAAGTCTAACCATATTACTGGAAATCTACGTTTTTAAATAATATTTGTTATATATATATCAAAATGTTGGTTTACCTAAACACAAAGTGAACAAATTAAATGTCTTGTTGCGTGTTTCATAGAAATCTGCGATAGCGAATTTATAATATAATATTACACGAGGCGGCTTCGCATTAATACATCTTATTTAACAGATTTCCATTGCGATAAAACCATATTATTATATTGTGCAGAATACTTGCAGGAGAGTTCGAATGTCAACAGTAGGCAGTATTACCCACCTATCGAGTAATGCATTATATTTTTTTTTATTGCACAGCATTTCATTTAAAACTGTTGCTCTTGTTTATTTAAGTACAGTTTTAAAAATAATCAGATCGTTTATAAATATTATTGTTTTATGATAAATACGTTTTTAATTTTTTAAAGCCCTGTGGCACCGATAGGTTGTGTAATGTCGGTCAACACAGCATTAAAAGCGCCACATATTGATTGGAAATATGATATATTTATCGTGAAACAGATCCAAAATACTAATAAAATATAATTATTAAGGACATACTAACATTGTGTTAAACATTTTTCTGCCACAGGGCGATTCGTTAAAGTACACTTAAATCTAACTTTTACCTCGTCTGTTGACTGTTGGATACGGAATTTAATACAATAGGAGAACATGCAAAAACATGCAAATGTAGTTTATAATAGGAACCTTTAAAGCAACGCATTTATACATAGTTTGTATTACCTGTATTTTATAATACTACATACAATAATTTATTCTCTGTATAGTGAATAGATAGGCACCTACTCATTATTTTTGAAAACGATGCTAAAATAAATAATTGTTTTTTGATAGTTTAATAGATACACTTAATTTGGAAAACTTTATGCCACCCACTATGTTCTATGCTCCCATAAACTTTAGGACCATCACTATAACCGACTTTTGATTTTCCACGACCATCTGACATGGGTAGGTACTCTAACGAAAAGGAATTGACAAAGTGTATACAAAATAGCAAATCAGTGTATATAATTAAATTAGCCATATTATTCAGTACCCTATTTTAGGGCGACGGTATTTAAAATGTTGATACCGGTATCCGGTAATTGTTTACTACTGGTATCTACGGTATTACCGGTTATAGGGTATTTTCAGTAATTACTGAATTACGATATTTTCTGTAACTATAACGGTATAAAGGTATCTATCGGTGTACCGAAAATACCGCCAGCCCTAGATTAGGCTATCGTTTCCAGACTTCCAGTCCATTCTATCTAAGTCATAAATATTATAAGAATGGATAGGACATCTGGCTTATCAACTGAGAATAAAGTGATACATTTATTGAAGTTATAAGGGTTCCTTTATAGTTGATAATTATTGTAACCTCACCTCAAAAAAGAACTCTTATAGTCCATCTCTCATTCTCTCTCCTAGATATTGAACTTTCTCTCTTCCCCAACCTAACATTTCTTGCATAGCCAGTGTATTCATTTCCTATCCATTCTTATCATCATAGTCTATGATATATGATATAAGATAACAGATAACGGAAATTACAATATTCTATTATGTCATTATGAATATATAAAAATAATAAATTATGGTATATGCCATATGGTATTTTTGGTAACTACCGAGGTACGGTATTTTTGGTAATAACGGTAATTACCAAATCACGGTATACAGGTATTCTGAAATACTGAAAATACTGGAATTTTTTAAATACCGGTAATTATCGTTATACTGAAAACACCGCCAGCCCTTTCATATTTTTGAATTCTGTTTGTGGGACATGAAACTAGACTATTGGATCATAACTCTCTTGCAACCAGAATTCTAAAATATCCATAGGGTACTGAGCAATGTGGGTAACTGTGTTATAGATTGTACCCAGTTTTCCCGGATACACGGTATATGCTATATTATAGGAAAATTGTATTTATATTCGATTTTAAAGTTGCGAGCTACAAAAATGTGTTGTAATAAAAATTGGTAAATATTGAATGGCAAGTTACATGGGTATTAATGTCATAATGATCATCGAAGGTATGTCAAGTATGAAAACTATAGATAATACTAAGGAATATCACAATAATATCATTGTTGTTTCATTCGTGAAATAATAAGTAGGTATTATTAATATTTGTTATATTATATGGTTCATTGTTCTCAAAATGTTGATTGGTTAATCCAACGAAACGAATGGTTGATCTCGGTTTGAACATTCCATCTATAATAATTTATCAAAAAATGATATTATGATAATATATTATATTGTAATCATATTTAAAATTAAAATAATAATTATAATATGTGCACCTGTGTCCTGATATACCAGGGGTAAACCTATGTAAAAAAATATTTTATTGCTAAAAACGTTTAAAACGAAATAAAAAACACGATTAGTATAATTGTTTTAACAGATACGTGTATAATTTATATTTTTATCATAACATATTAATATGTATTTCACTAAGATATAAACAATAAAACACTTTGCCGATTAAACGATTAGTAAAATAATTCTAGAACAAAATATTGATTGGACTAAGCACAACATATAATATTACAGTTACAGTTGTAGTGGTAAAATAGTAGGCCGAAACGCCGTCCTTTTTATGAAAACCACAATTTACTACTTATATTATTAATTATTATTAATATATTTTTTTTTTCACGTAAACACATATTAGTTCTATTTACAAAGTAAAATCACCACATTCAAATAATTTTCACTAAATAAAACAAATATATATGTATATACAATATTATTATGTGTATATAGCTTCAAACAAATGATTTTTTTTTAAATTTATTAAATCAACCGTGTACTCAAATCGAATTTTGGACTTAACAATTTAATGGAATTCGAGTACACGGTTGCACTCAGACTTTATCACACTTCGTTCTAAAATATAAATATTCTGTGAATTCATTTTAGTATAGAATTTATTTAATTTAAACACAATAAAATCAATGGTTGTTAAATGAAAAAATTATATTCTGCACGTCACTGTTTATTATGGACATATGAACATTATATTGTGACTGTGAGGCTGGGAATTTTTTTTTTTGTTGCTAGACAGGTTTAAAAAAATCAACTCAATCAAGTAAAAAGTTTTTTGAGTAAAACATTATGTAACTAAGTTAAGTCATTAGTTATATCCTATAAGTTTATAATTTTGTTTCACCACACAAATTGAATTGAAACTTATTAAAACCACAACATATACAAAACAAATTTAATTTATATATTGTGTATATACACATTGTTATTAACAAATATTTATTGGCTAATTTTTATTCCTTAGTAGTTAAGAGTATCTAAATAGCCACATTTTCCATGACATCGTAATAAAATAATAAGAATAAGAATAAAAGAACGTTATCTATGACTCAACTTTTATTAACTATACTCTAGAATTCTCCCAGTCTCATTACTATTATTCTTCTGTATACAGAAAAAAACCTAAGTACCTTAATATAATGTTCATACATCGATTATAAACATTGGCTGTTCTGCAAACACATAATATACGATTTATTAGTTATTAATTATTATTATAACAATACTTTAATGATTGAAATTTGAAATAATGAAAAAAAACATACAACGCATCCATTTATATATATATATTTAATAATGCTACTTTATATTATACAAAACATCTATTCTTATAATAATAATATTAATAATATCCTACAAACATATACGCATGTCTAACAAAGTACAAAGTACAAAAAAAACACATATAACCATTACCCTCTTAAGTTATCAAGTGATATGTCTGTTGTAACATGTTAATACAAGTTATAAATTACTAAAACTAATACGTTTAAAAAAGTTGCTTGAGACAAGAGAATAGGTTTATACTATGACGTCATTCACTTATTAAATTTAATAGCTTATACATTTAAACTAGGTATATAATAATATATCATATATGTTTTTCGTTACATAAAAATATTACATTTTTTTTTTTATCATTATTTCTATAATATCACATCATAAATAATTTTGATATGTTTTCGTTTTGTTTGAGAATTTATATTTCATTTACCTACACGTAGCTATTACACATAATATAGTAATAATATGGGTGCGCGGCTCACCCGTAGCAGCACGTCAAGTACGAATATGACTTCATTTTGCTTGGGTTACTGTAAAACACTATTATTACAACACAGCTGCTGCTGTTGGATAGGTACGCGACAAAATAATAATATCGTTTTCGAATATAATATGATTATAACATTAAATTTTACTGATATGTCCAGAAGATATGTCATGCCCTGCACAGTTAGAGATGAAAAAAAAAACACGAACAATAATAATATAAGTTTGTTACAATAGGCCATACTATCAGTAATTACCTATTAATATTGTTTCGTATTAATTTATAATTGTTTTTTTTACGTCCAAGAGGCTTCAATAACTATATTATACACTTTATATTATTATCGAATTACGATTATGCACACCTGATGCTTAAAATATATTTTACAACTAAACGATAAATAATTATTACTCTTCGATTCTGTGATTGCAATCACGTAGCGGACGAATTTACCTATTTCAATGTTACCTGCCTGACTAATTTTACAGCATTATATTATTACCTAGAACATAATAACGACAATAATGGTTCATCCGAATAATTATTAATTAGTGGTCAAAATTGGATTTTATCCTCGTATATGGGTAAATTACTGTACTTGAAACGTCATAATAATTCAAATTAATGTAGCGTGAATGTTTAAGTGTTGGCGACAATCTCCAAAAATCTGTACTTATAACAATACGGAGTATAATCGACGATTTCAGAGCCCTAATCATTTTCGTGCCTGTTAAATTATGTTTGATAATAATTAATAGTTATTTATTGTTTA